GACAGGGAGCTGACCCCTGTGACCCCGACGTGATAAGGCGCCCGGCGGGGAACCCCCCACGACAACTAAAATTCCACTGCCGGTGCGCCGTGCTTTACTTATTTTGTCTGTATAAGTTTTATACTCTGTGAACAAACAGGCTTTGAGAATTTACACTCTGTTCTCATAATGATTTTATTTTTAAATTTGCCTTCTCTTTTTTTATTATCAATGTCTGTTTTTTGGCTTACTGTCCGTTTGTGGTTTGATATTGCTAAGTTTATGCTCTCTCTGTAGCAATTGTTATTATCTGTTTACAGCGAGAAGTGACCAGAGCAACGTCGAAATTGCTCACGACCCCTGGTTCAGCATGGACAGATGTTGACGAATTGAAAACCACCCAACAGCGTCTGGCAGGTAGGCTTAGTGCTTGCTACTATTTTACACGTTTTAATATAATCAGAACTACACAGGCCAGTCGGATATACAAAAACAAAAAAAACAAAAAACAAAAAACCCCTGAGTAAAGTGACCCTTGCATCCCGTGCTTTCAAGTGGTCCTCGCTCCAGCTTCATCAATTCAGAAAATTCTTAATGGATGATACTATCAGCTTGTATATCCACATGTCAATCTGTGATGTTAGGTTCTCATTGAGAATTATTCGCTGTAAGTCAGTAGAAAGTAATGGGACATCACTTGGAATGTCGATCATCACAAGGAACACATGAAAGTATTCTTCAGAAAATTGTATTTTTAGTCTCTAGCTGTGACCAAAGTATAGTTGAAACGACAAAATTTCCATAAAAATGCCACATCTTGCTTGAAAAGGATAAAGGGTATGTTAGAAATGAATATTAAAATAACAATATTTTGACAATACTTCAGTAAATGACTTTAGGAAAATAAGCAAAGCATCTTTGGAAATCCCCTTGTATAAATCAAAATTCAAACTCGACATGAGGTGTCCCAACCTCATATATTGTCATCCAGCTCAAAACTAAAATAGCAGTAATGAAAGTCAATGTTATTGCTTTTACGCTTCCATCAATACAGTTTAGATTAGTGCTGGATCCCGGTATCGATTCCGTTCACTGCTCGCAACTCCCACTTCCGGGAATCAACTCCCAACTCACTTGAGCAACTCAGTTCAACTCAGTGCAATTCAGTGATTCAGAGTTGTAGCAAAGAATTTCTACCATGAATCTGAATCTTAATTGTTAAAAAGTAATGAGCTCACGGCAGTTTAAGATGTCAAGACAAGATACAGCCAGCCTTTGTATGAGCAGCAGTTAGATTTGCAGGTCCAAAAAGCCTGTCAGCAAGCAGGGAGCGGCAACACCGGAGATTCACCCCAGAGCAACTCACTTGCTGCTCGCAACTCAGTGAATCGATTCAGGAGTTGACACAATATTTAGCGCGGTGGATGCGATCACGGCTACTCGCAACTCAGTGAATCGATTCAGGAGTTGATACTATATTTAGTGCTGCGGGTGCGAGCAAGCTTACTCGCAACTCACTGAATCGATTCAGGAGTTGATACCATATTATATGGTGCGGTGGCAACTCAGTGAATCGATTCAGCTTCAACTCAGTTCATAGGTCATCAACTCAGTTCATAGGTCATTGATAGTGCTATGAATAGATGGGAGTCTCTAAGCCTGTGATAGTAGGCTAGTCTGTCGTTCAGCCATTGAGATGCTGCGTGATTGAAAGGGGGTGGGGGCTAAGGGGTGTCGGTCTGTCTACTGGGGATGGGTGAGGGCAGGGTGTGCACTCGGTGACGGCGCGTGTGACGAGCGGAGGGGTAATGTATTAATTTGTGAATGGGAAAACACAGGAAGTAGAGCCAGTCGATGGAGGCAACGCGTTGTAATGTACCATGTGAGCAGTGAGCGTAGACAGCAAACTGTTGTGGTGGCTAGTTCTAGCCCCCGCTGTCGGTAGCGCTAGTGTTCAGTCTGTAGAAACACGATTGGGCTATAATGGCACACATGTGAATAGGGCTGCTCAAACTAGATTTAGACTATGATTGGTTTTGGACTTTAGAGTGTGTTGATGCATGACCTGCCAATGCATTTGTTGTACGTTAAACTTTCCTAATTTCTTTACTTACTTCTGTTTATGTGTGTGTGGGGGGGGGGGAGCGAGAGAGAGAGAGAGAGAGAGAGAGAGAGGGGGGGAGAGAGAGAGGGGAGGGGGCTTCTTTTTAAAAGGGTGGAGGGGGGAAAAGTTAAAAGAAAGAAGGAACAGTATATGACGTCACACGGTGCTGACGTCACAGGGGGCAAGCCTCAAGCCTACTCGCAACTCACTTGGAGCGAGGAGTTAGTGCTCGCAATTCACCTAAAATTTGAAGAAAACACAGCACTAGTTTAGATTATTTAGGAGTCAAGTTTTGACCCTGCTTGTCAAAAGGTTATCCACGACTGTTGCAAAGACATGACTTGAAGATGGGAGCTGAAGAGGAGAGGACAAGCAATTTTGTGACTAGTAATTCTTCGACAAACTTGATGAAATTGCTTTCCCATTACTACAGACTCACATTAAAAAATCATAGTGTACTGTTATCTCAATAACAATCAATAATGTTTAAAGAATTATTTGACTCTGTAGTCAAGTTTTTCAGACATGTTGTTAAATAAAAGAATACTTTAGATACAGGCAGTTTTCAAGATGTATGATGTTTTTACCAAGGGGAATAACTAAATCAAGGGGAATAACTTATACAAGCAAAATCTATCTTGACTATCACTTTCAAAGCCTCAGAGGCCTTTATGGAGAGTATCAAAGAAAACGGAAAGAGTCACACATGGTCCCAGACGACTTTAGAGAGATATTCAAAAAGAGCAACCTGTTGTATGTATGTCGGAGGGATCGATGTGATGTATGCAGGGTAGGAGAAAGAATCTAACATGAAGCTTGCACAAAACCCAGTGAATGGAACTTGATTATGTCTAGAGTGCATGGACTTGGAAGCGGATTTATTGTTAGTGCGGCGTTGAACGCATCTGCTGCACAATATGATAACAGGACTAAATTAACTGTCTATATATTTTGTTTTATTTGGTGGTAACCAAAGATGCGAAGTGTCACATTTGGCACCAAGGAGAAGGGCAATTGATTGCCGATGAAATCTCTTCTTGTGTCAGTAACTTCCTGGAGGAGCCTACTGACAATAAATATGCCACGTTCATTATAATACAATGATGGCTGTACTTAACAGACCACAACGCTATCTTGCCAAATGCAATCAGCAACATTTGTACCAGATAGAGCCAAACTGTTGAACTCAAATACCTTGAAAAGAGACAAACGCAAATGGAAGTGAATAGCACGTACTGCATAAGCAAGATGTCCCTGAAAAATGGTGTGGTTTATGTGCTCAAGGATAATCTTGAACGTTTTTAAGAAAGCAGGACAATACACACACACACACACACACACACACACACACACACACACACACACACCACACACACACACACACACACACCACACACACACACACACACACACACCAAAACAGACCCCGTTGTCACAAACGTTCGTTGCCTTCGATACACACACACACTTTGATGTTCGATTTCTGGATTATTTCCACCTGTTGTCACAAACGTTCGTTGCCTTCGATACACACTGAGCAAAAACATCAAGTATAAATTGAACATTAAGATGAGTGGTCTTTTTTACCAACTCCATGAGGCCAAAAACAGTCCAGCCCCAGGAGACCCAACCAAATAACAGAAATAATTACTCATAACTTTATAATTACTCTTAAATTTGCTATGATATACTTTCGTAGATAACTCAAACATCCAAGCAACCATTGGCACTTATCGAGTGGCATTGATTAACTGATTCAAACGCCTAGACGCCGACATTGTCCCTTAGGCAGTTGAATCACGCAGATTTTGTAAGGTTTAAAGTCCAGTTACTTATGTAAGGGGCTGTTCAAATATAATCTGACATCTTTTTTGGGACTTTTTGACCCCCCCCCGTAATATTACATTGTTCACTTATAATGCTAATAATATGACATTTATATCACACAAATCCGTGTTACAATCATTGTTCCATGCGCTTTACATAATATTCATGATGAACATGCATATGTTCCGCGCAATGTACAGATCGGCGCTTAAGATTGTATAATTGCGTTGCGCTGCACCTTTTAATGATTGTATAATTCACTTCCATCTTTATTCTTTTACTCACATCAAGGAACATTCACGTATATTATATTTTCAAAAGTGCAAAAATATGAAAATTTAAATTAAAATTTGATATTATTAAACTGTAGAGCTCACAAGAATGATGTAATTATATAACCGTTAAAACGCGCAGCACAATCTTAAAATTGCCCCACTATCTTAAGATTGCCACGCAATTATACAATCTTTAAAACGTGCAGCGCAATCTTAAGATTGGTAAATTGCGCGGAACACATACACAGATATCATACATATGCACATAATAATATGCAGTTCTACATTTACTAAAAAATAATAGAGTAGATAATTCAAGCAAATATTGCATACTTTCTTTCTTACTAATAGGGAAAAAATTGAGACACATGTCAATTTCAAAAGCGCCTTCATTACAAATGAAACATATTACCAGGGGCGAAGCGTCTATATAATCAAATAATCACTGCTTCCCTTCCTAATTTTGAAACATTGTCGCTGTCAAATTCATCCTTAAACGTAAACCTCTTAAATTAAAAGTAAAAAGAGGTTCGTAAACCACAATGAGCATGCCTAACATTCAAAACGGTTTCACGGCCACATAAATAGCCTCCTCACCCCTCTCGGGCCACTCCATAAGCAGTCGCAAGCTTTGATTAAGTAAGCTTAAAGTGAGGCTGGAAGAGTCTACCAATTCAGTTGAGGGAACATGTGCATAGCAGTCATGGCTGTTTCATTGCCACATATACCCTGTTCACCCCTTTGGGGCCACAGTTACAATCAATCACAAGCCCTGATTAAGTAAGCTAACGAACACTGGTCGAGTCTACCTCAGAAATGTGAGGGGAACTAACTCCTAACAATCTCTTTACTGCTGCACGTGCTTGTTTTTTTTCCTCGACTTTTTACTGTCCTATAATCAGATCGTGACCTCGATTATGATACCAGCTCCTGGCCGCGAAAGGCTAACAAAAACAGCCAAATGTGAAATTTAAAAAATGATAATTGTCATGTTCTACCAAAGAGTTAAACTCTCTGGTAGATCTATAACATATAGATCTAGTACTGACATCTCTGCTTCTTTGCTTTGTGTTTATGTATTCACATCTAAAGTTAAATTAATTTTAGTTGGAACTGATATTTAATCAGATACTTTCCCGATTATTTTGGCGGTTGAACATACAATATGAATTCCGGATTTGTTTTCATTTACAACTCAGTCCGAGTCGCCGCCTCGAGTAAGATTTTTGTGTGATATCTACAGGCCATATAGATCTATATCTGGTCCCGTTTCACTTTGATTACCCTTTCAAACAAGTCAGCCTTCGCCCCTGCATATTACAGTGGCATTCAGGACCGAAAAAAAGTGTTGACTTAGAGCAAGGTTGACTTTATCCATTGTACTACTTGCCATTGAAGATTGAAGCTGACAGCTACAAAATTACAAAGTGCCTGCTAACAAGATGTTAGCTCAATTTCAGTGAGTATAATTCTGAAGTTGTCACTAAAACAAGAGATAATGAGTAAACAAAATAATTGGAGGTGTGTACACCACTAGCTCAGGACCTAAATATCTCTTCTTAAATGAATTCATCTTGGGATTTAGCCCCAAATTGTTGACTTTATGCAAGGTTAGCACTCAAGCGTTTGACTGTACATGTATCAGAAACACAATTACTTAAACAAAGAAGGTAAGAAACGGGACCACAGTGAGGTGTTGACTGTAAGCAAGAGATAACTTTATCAGGATTCCACTGTGTCTGTTATTACTGATCATTTTGCTTAAAACAAAAAATGAAATTAGTTATCATCAACAAAAGCAGTGTTCATCATTATGTCAAAAATATTTTTTTTAAACAGGGGCATTTGCTGAGCTGTCTTCCAAATATAGGTCTTGTTCCAACTTCCTGCCCTGTCTCCTCTTCCTCCTCTTCTTCCTCCATCTCCATTTCTTCCTGTGTAAAGCCCTGTGCCCCTTCAATGCTGCAATACTTGGAACATATTTTCCACCTCCCTTGTTGCCTCTGCGCACCATGCAGCCTTTCTTGACCAAGGCCACTCTTTTTTTCCTTATTTTTGTCACCTCACAAAAGTGTAATATTACATTGGTTCAAGA